CCAATACATAATTTCCACTATAACTTCAATATAACTTTAATTTACCCATTAGGTAGCCTATATATTATTTTATTTAGAAATTTTAAACATACCTAAGTGTAAGTTACCTCCTAGGTACTGGTATATTGACCTAATGATTCTATATTACAGTATGTCGATCGCTGTCGGTGCCCTTTACATCAGGAAATACTTCAACGAGAACTCTAAAGCCAATGCTTTAGAAATGGTGAACGACATCAGGTATTTACACAACATTTATTAACATATTAAATAAATGCAAGGAATGTGCAAGAGACGACCGCGGGCCGGCAGATATATTATAGGCAGCACTCCCGCTAGGTAGTGTTGGATAATCTAACTATTTTTGTCAATCGATTGATCAATCATCATAACTAGACTATTTTAGACATGACAAATTTTTACATAGTAATCAATCTTGGCTAAAAATCATGGATTAAATCTATGAGTCGTGAGATTTGTAACCAAAAAATGTAACCATGATTTGTTGACTAAGATTACCTAACTCTAATAAATCATTTGGTCATAAATCACGATTAAAGTTCGCTCAACACCACCGCTAAGTAGATGGACGACATCAGAGGCATTATTATATGTTATTCAGCTGTTTAAGACCTAATAGCAACCCATTACTAGTTTCAAACGTTCGTTAATCGGTAACCTTCTAAATGAAGGAATGATCATGTATCGATACAGATATTAAATATTTTAACTGTGTGTCATGAATAAAGCTATAACAAAACTTGTGTCTCCCTCAGGCAACAGTTCCGTAAGACCCTGAATGAAGTTGATTGGATGGACGAGAAGACCCGTCAGGCTGCATTGGAGAAAGCCGATTCCATGGCCTCGCATATTGCCTACCCCAGTGAGATGTTGGACAATGACAAATTGGCGAAATTCTACGATGGAGTAAGTTACCTCTCAAACTTCATCTTATACAGTTCCTTATTAAAGAGACCAAACGAACTAAAATACCATACCAAAGAACACTACATGCTAAGAGTACATTAACCATTACCAAGTTACAGGTAATGTAGGAAATTACATGGCTAATCCGTATAGTTGATCCGTAATAGTTTTTATATAAGATGAACATGAACAGTATAACTCAATGGCGTTAACCGTAGTGTTATATATGTAAATTTACTAAATAAATAAATAATTGGTATTTTATAACTACCTAACCCGTATAACAACCTACCTACTTTCGTTGTTGTTTTAAATTGCATAATTTGATACGTGAATGGATAAAATTGATTCAAAGACGCATGCTTACATAGAATGAAAATTAATTCCGATCACAATTTTTTAGTTGGAAATGTCTTCGGAAAAACTGATGGAGTCCGTACTGAACCTGACACTGTTCGGCACCGAATACTTGTTTGGCAAGCTCCGAGAGCCAGTCAACAAGACTGACTGGGTGACCCATGGCCGTCCCGCCATCGTCAATGCATTCTATTCTTCCATTGAAAACAGTATTCGTAAGTAAAACCTTTAATTTATAAAATTTCAAAGACAAAGAAATTCTAATTGTCCTTAGTCACCTGCGTATCTGAGTAATTATGTTATGACTATACATTTCCTTTGTGCATACATTGATAGTTTGATTTGAGTACAAAGTTGGCTATGTCAGACTTTCTAGCTTGAACTCGACGTGGATAGTAAAAATTAAATTAATTTTGCAGAGTTCCCTGCCGGTATCCTGCAAGGTGCGTTCTTCTCAGCCAAACGCCCCGCCTACATGAACTACGGCGCCATTGGTTTCGTCATCGGTCATGAGATCACTCACGGTTTCGACGATCAGGCAAGTATCGAGACTCAAGTATTTATCTACCTCATAGCTATTCATTATTAATCTCCGTAATAGTAAACTATTATTTTATATTTGTTCAGTCTTATTCTTTCCGCACATACACTAGTTATTCTACTATAGGTACATACACTCGATTTGAGAATAGATGTATATTAGTTCCTTTACTTAAACACAGATTCATATCGATACTAACTTCTAAATCTCCGATTAAGAAAAATCCACAATATTTGTCCATACAAAAGTAGTCTCTAAACATCGCAAATAAGGTCTTTAATGGAGTAAGTGGAAAGCGGTCACCGGAGACCGCTTGGGGACTAGGCAGCTAATGTTGTTTTTTTTCTATTGTTAATAAATTGTATTTGACTGACTCGCTTCTTTTTTTAGGGACGTCAATTTGACAGGAATGGTAACTTGGTTGACTGGTGGCAAGAGATGACCAAGCAGAAGTATTTGGAGAAAGCTAAGTGCATCATTGACCAATATTCCAACTACACCGTGACTGAAGTAGGACTCAAGGTAAAGTAACTTGTTGAACAATCTATAAAAATGTACCTAGCAATATGTACGTACCTAGCCAGGTACCTATATCACGATTCTTATGTAGGTACGTCAAAGAAACGTGATAAAAGTAGGTACCTATTGTAAGATGTGATTGCATTAAATTTATGTACTGTCATAAACATATCCTAGTAAAATTAATTAATTTACGTAACTTCTTAGATCATGTTCACAAATTTAATTGCATCTCGGGTTCTTTCAGTTGAACGGAGTAAACACGCAAGGTGAGAATATTGCTGACAATGGTGGAATCAAAGAGGCTTACTACGCGTACCAGGCCTGGACCCAGCGACACGGAGACGAGGCTCGTCTACCCGGACTTGAGAAATACACTCCCAAACAGGTAACAAACTGTTGAAACATAACATTGCAACTTGTAATAAATATAGATGCAACCTATTACCGCGTTATGACGTCATCGTTACAAATTATGTGCAACCTTAAATCAATCTTCAAAATACTTTTGCCTAATTAATTGTTACCTAAAATCCAGTCACGGATATCGTGCACCGCAACACCGGTTAGATAAGTATTGCTTGTTTACAGCTGTTCTGGCTGAGTGCGGCCAACACCTGGTGCTCGGTATACCGGAACGAAGCGATCAAGCTGCGCATCACGACCGGATTCCACGCGCCCGGACGTTTCCGTGTCGTCGGCCCCTTCTCCAATATGGAGGAGTTCGCCCAGGATTTCAAATGCCCCGGCGGATCACCGATGAACCCTATCAACAAATGCAAAGTGTGGTAGTGCTTCTACCGCCCGCCCGCCTCACGAATGCTGACATGTGCCCCGGTGCATGGCAGACACGCCACGCCTACCTGACGAGCTATCCCAAACGACCACACGCTGAACATTCGACACACTCGGATAAATTCTGTACTTAATACTAAGAACCTTTATAAACGTTTACATGCGAATTATTAGAAGTATTTTGGTCACTATTTATCTAAACGATTTGATAGTCTAGTACTTACGTATCTGTAGCTCGACAGTGTTAGGTCGATGTACCTACACCGGAACCTACACTTACCCCCGGGTGAGTGCAAGTTTCAAGGTGTTACGTTCAATGTTTAGATGTCACCTGATATTTCGATGTTGTTAAACTTGTAAATAGATTAGCTGAATTGTGTTTAGATAGTTTTATACTCTTCAATCACTTGCTACGATACACGATACAATTAGAATTCGGTGAGACTTTAGACTGAGCACAGAACATTAGATATTTGACGGGTATCATTATCTATTTCGTGTACAAATGCTATCTTGTTACACCGCAAGCTGACACTTATTTTTATTTACTTGAAGCCTGCTTGTAGGTAACATAAGAATTGAATTGTTACTATTTAGTCTTTCATATTTATTGTAGCCGCAGTCACAGGCAACCGAACAGAAACCATTCGATTTTTATTAATAATAATATTATATTACTAAACAATTGTATTATTATCTGTAGGAACTATTACTGCGGCTGTTAGTGTATTAATGTACTAATACTGTATCGAATCTCACTTAAACGTGATTAAGAAACGAACAGTGATAATTTAATTTAAACTTAAGTCCCTAGTTAGTAGCGTTTTTGGATACAATCATTGTTGTAAATCATTAAAAATCAATATAAGATCATTTTTATCAACCACCGTTTTTCATTTAAAAGGTTATATAGTTGTACGGTAATAATGCCTTGGTTTTATAAGGCTGGGACCATAGGGACTGCATTTGTAACACGTTCAGATCTTAAACAGATCTCAACAACGGTGCGACATAATTAAAATGTGGAAGCCCCACGACTAATTCACCATATTTTAGGAATATAGAACAAGTCTAGTTAAACAAATCATCACCATGTCATCTATACTTTGATAGTTTCAATGGTCAATGGTATTGTAAGTGGGCCCACCTTAACAAATGTCATACGAAACCTGTCTTTCAATCAGTAACTATATCTCTATAGGGGGGCTGTTTTACAAGGGGATTCAAAAATGTTGATGTTTATGACGGAAATGTTAAAATTTTGAGAATTTCTTGATTTTATATAAACATTGATTAACACAAACAATATTAATTTCTCTTCAGACACGAGAGTGGAATTACAGCTAGACACACGTACACATGATGTGACAAAGTGTTGAGAAGTTAACAACTTCATACAGAGTTTATACTGACTAACTGAACATTTTTAGTGTAAAATATTTAGATATTCTAGTTTTCTAGATAAATGATAAAACTTCGACAACGACCCTTGCGTAACATTTCGAAGATAGCGGAAAGGTAATTTTGAAAAGGTATATAATAATAGTTGTGATATCGAGTATGAGTTACTTTGACGTGAAGTGGGCCATCCACTTATAAAATTTTAATAGTCTTGTCTAATATACGATATATACGATACGAGCCATTGTTAACAAAAGGGTGAATACTGCTTTATGACGTTATGGTAGGCCGTAGGCCTTCTGTAGTAAAAATACACAAACAAAACTTAAGAATCCTTTCAAACTGTGGTTATTGTTCCATTTACTATCTAATGTAAGTATATTTTTTTAAATGAAAAAGTATAACTGTTATAACGTTTACGTTACACAATAGCATTTTGCATTATAATGAAAATAAAACCGATCATGATAGTCATTTATTTCATCAGAACATTATACACACAGAATTTTTCACATGTCAATGAATTCTACACATTTATTGTTTTCGACAATTAAACCGACATATTATATAGTATCTTTACATATGTAACATGCAGTTTCCATATGCATTGACAGCACTATAACATATATACTAACATCTATTGGATAATGAATACCGCTACTGAAAGTTCAAAATGTCTGAATCTTGCTTAACTAATGATTACATGAAACGATTGTGCGAATAGTCGCCCTCTACCTACTATGAATATGTAGACATATAATAGTATTATCTTAAAATAGCTGCATTGTAACTGCAAAATAAAATAAATAATATCATACTCTAATCATAAAATATCTTTAAAGCATTTCCAAATATAATAAAATAATATTTTAACACATACTGTTTATTATTCGGAACATAGCCAATGAAATAAGGGTTCAGCCACAGTTGGTCAGTCTCATCGCTCACTATCACACAACGATACATACGCCACTCGTCTATAAACAGCACCGCAAGCTAATGTGTTCCCATCGCTTCCTAACTCTACTGTGAATGCATCCTTAAAACATATTACAATATCTAAACTGGGCTAAATCAATACTTCCATAAACGTAAAGTAATATTGCGCAAATATAAACTAACAAAATGTAAGAGTATCTGAGATCACGAAAGTAATGTGCTTAACGCTGCTATTATCAATTAGACTGTGGAGGATAAGTTCCATGAGGTGTTACAATATCAAGTGACTAGTAGTAAACTGTACAGTGTCTTTTGATCCTACAGTGCACATAGACTTCAGATCCCACACGCCACGCCAGTACAGTTCAAATATTGAACTAACTGTTGAAATTGCAGTTACACCGCACTAAATATTTTAATTGAAATTGATCGCTAAAGCCTTCCCACCAATTTTATTTCTCGTAAAAAATAGGTGTTAGCAAATTTATTGTCATATATCTACCAACAATACTTTTAGAACTTTGTTCTCGCTACAATTTCAAATTTCTTACAACATTTCTTGTTCTTACTTACCTACCAAGCTCCGCACGTAACTGGTGCAAGGGGTTTATACAAGATACGTAAATAAACCAGTTTCTCATGTGGCAACCTATGCAAGGTTACTTCAAATTGACTCCGTGGTTTAGAAATCCCAAACTTTGTTCGTCATTATCTTGGTAGTGCAAAGTAAATAACAGTGCCATCAGATGGATATGTATTTAATTACCATTACCGTATCAAGTATAACCTCAATGCTTCACTATCACAAAGCCATCTTACTGTAACATCAGCGAGCAAATAGTACCTATCTATCCATAGCATAAGCGGCTAGTCCTATCGGCTACGAGCACCACAATAACACACGCTCCTCTGTTACACTATGAACCTGTTTCACTACTCTCATTAAAGTACCCGGTAAAGTTAATGGAAGATAGTTCCTACAATATTATAATTTATATGGAAGGTACTAAAGTAGTGGCTAACCGGAGTATGTGAAACGGGTCATAATACTTGAAGTTGTAAAGCTGATTCGCTTCACTCAAGGGTCCTACTCATTCACACTTTTCCTTCACTTGGGAACTGGATAATGGCCTCTAAATGTCACGTCGTCAAATGCTAAAATATTAATGTTCCTTATATTTTTATATACCATTGTTCAATTTTCATGAGATTGAACCAATAGTACACATAAATTTTATTTCGTTTTCATAATATAAACTATGGCTTTATTTCAGTTCCATGATTACTTTTAGTATTCCAGACACTCAACCTGAAGATCAAAAAACACTGTAGCGAAAATGCCTTGCTAACGGCACAGATCTACAATTAAATACTATTAATAATACTTAAACGACAACCGTCTTGCGTCCCTTAATTACTAACATATAATAATATCAATTCAAAAAATTCGCACCGTGATGAGTACACCTGTATCTCGGACATGATAGAATACGTTAATCTCTATTATAAGTACGTTCACGGTGCTATCAAAGAGTACAGAGGATGACAAGTAGAGTATAATTATGCAAAGACGATTATTCTGAGTAGTCGTCAGGAAAAGTCAATTGTGGCCGCAAGTTGATCAAGAACGCCAGTAGACGATCGTTTTCTTCGTTCGAGCCCCTGAAAATTAAGAGACAAATAAGTTTATATACGTCTGCAGTTACATTTCTATAAACTATCAAGTCTGCTTATTAGGCTGATAATTACCATGATTATGGTATAGAACATTCCGTTGGCCGGCCAACCGAATGTTGTCGGTGTTTCGTGTGAACATTAAAGGAACTTGGAGTACTCCGCAAACGGTGTTCACTCGCAACGTCCATTTGGCGTCTCATTCAGTTTGTTGACATTCGTCAGTAAAGACGGTACCGTCGTCCGTGAGCAGTTGTTCCCAGATTACAATGGCGGGGACGAAAACTGAGATTTTTTATTTTATTGAAATGAACAAAAAGTACATGGATACTTTACTACATTGGCCCAATACGTTCGCCTAATGTGCAGAGCCGGTTTAATATTAGGAAACAAGACACAGTCAAAGTATTTAATTAAGCATTTCAAAATGAAAGACGTGAATATGACTGTCGAATATGTTGAAAATTTGCTTCTGCCAGAAGGAGGTATATAAAACGTTGCGCGATCTCGACGTATACAAGGCCATGGACCGCCCGTGAATCAAGTTATCACGGACTGTTTGTATAGATGATTCTCAACTTAAGTAGCTCAGTCTCAAGCCAAACTTTAGATCACGTTACTGCAGTTAATCACCAAGCTCAGTATCTGGCTAAGCACAATTTAACTTAGAAGCAAGGATTTGTCCATCTAAGTACTTATTAACATTTGCGTACTGAACTACGATTACACTTATCAAAAGAAAAACAAAGCTCAATAATTCGACCAAGAATCAAACATTTAATATTTTATACTAATGTTCAAATACTCAAACGCCATTCAATTTTAAATCGCGCTTTAGTATAAACTTGTCACTACAAATTCTTTGAGAGAGATTTAAGTACTGGCCACTGCGATTAAGTGATAGAAAAGTTTACTTACTCGATATCAATCTCTATACACAACAAGCTGTGGTGCGGCTTCCCCTCATCGTCCAGCCATCTGGAAACACACAACATAGACGTCAAGTTTTTGACGGGCAGACTGATCACTTAATAGTATGGAATCGATGCCACTCATGGACATGACATTCGCAACCGGAAAGAAGTTAAAAGTGTGTTTCTGACCTTTGGGGGCCAGTATTCCCATTCACACGGTAAAATATAATACAAGCGTTGAATTTCGCCGTATTACTGCGAGGGCATGGTGTGATTCTGGTTGACCCAGCCAATTTTTAGGTTAGTAAACTGTTAGCAGTTTTATCAAGTTTTTCTTTCGCTCTCTACGGTTGACGATATGTATATTAAAAATTACCCTCATAAAAATATTGAACGGAAAACAGATTATACCTACTAAACATTGTGCACATGCCAATAAATAGCGTAATTACACCAAATGAGATAGTCAGACAGATTTCAAATACTCAGTACTCAGTATGTGGCAGCATGGCAACATGTTACCATAGCGTTTTTGAGTTTTGATTTCTAAGTTGGCCACGGATAAATATCTACAGGTTTTTGATTATTGCTAATTCCCGTTAATAATCGGAATCTTGTGTTGTACCCCGATGTATGTACCTAAAAAAAGAATATATAATGGCTTACACGTCGTGGAATGGCAGCGAGGAAACGGGTTCAGAGTATAGTCCCCTGGGACGGCGCACGGGCCCGCGGTCCATGCCGTCGGCTTGCGCAGCGGTCAGTGTACCCCGCACTACATGCCAGAATCCACGCTGCGCGGCGCCAACGCCGTCAATACGCTCGATACGCACCCAGCCTGCAATTATGCCATTATTATTAACTATAACTACAAACAGTCTTCGTTGTCTATATTTTATAGTAATAACATCAACAAAATTGCAGTTAAAATGTTTCAGGTTTATCTAAGAGCTCTCTTCCCTACTCTCTGTCAAATTTGAAATCTGAATAACGATAAAAATGTTAATATCCGACCAGAGCTACCCGCGACAGCTAAAAATTCATACTAATTGAATTTGTTACATCAGCTTACCAGCGAATGGTGATCTATCATCAGGAAAGCAGTTGGCACAATAGCACCGCACCTGTCCCCAGGACACTGCTTGGCGCAGTTCCGGGTGCGGCACAACAAGATGGTTCCAGTACTTAAGCACGAGGTGCAGGTGCTCGCAACCCTGCCCAGAAGCCTCCCACTCAGACTCCAAGCTCTGACAAGCAGCCCCGTCCTGATCCAAGCACATGATGCGGTTGAGGTAGCGCATGTACTCCACCGGCAACAAATCTGCCCAATAATCATCGCGACGCGAATTTTCAAATGACGATGATTGTTCTTCAGTCAGATCGGGCAAGTTCCCAGTCTCCATAGTAAGGGCGTCAACTATTTCATTGTCCAAGTTGTCCACATCGCTCACTTCTGGGTAACGATCATTGTGACGTATGTTGGTGTCTAAGAATGATCCGACGGGTGGCCTGTACATATCCACGCGACGACGTAGTTCCCTGTCGTCGTCGGCTTGCGATCCCACACTGCTTGTGTGTCGGAGAGAACTGGAGGACTCCTGTTCATCGCTCGATATGGAAAAGTTGTGCGTCGAGTGACTCTTTTTAATGCAGCGATTCACCATCTCGTTATTATCAGCGATTTGGTACAGCGGTAAATTAAGGCTTGTGTACATTGGAGCTTCAGCTAGAACGGCCCGAACTCTAGCATCTTTGTTTTTACTCTTTTTATACTTTTTCTTAATAACAACCACAGGGATTGGCTCTGGGCTCTCCAATGGCTTCGCTCCTGTTTTTGGATATGGGCTCGGTGTACGGTAAGGAAGAGGAGTTGGCACACGGTAGGGCGTGAAGCTAAGACCATGGCTGGGCCCAGCGGGCATGTACGGAGGCTCCCAATGGAGATCTTCATCATGAATCAGATTGTCTTGACTGTAGGCTTTCTTCTTGCGTTTCCTTTCCGTCTGCCCTTCGCTTACCGCTTCAGCTTCATCATCTGAGAGACCATCAAATGACTCTTCTTGAAATTCGCTGATGACTGGCAAATCGAGCGATGCTCCGCTTGTAATAACGTAAGGATGCAGTAACACCGACACCTGGAATTACAACAAGTCGACTTTAAACACAAAGTATATTTCTAGAGCTGCTATTGTTCTTTGTGATTCAATATTTAGTATCTGTATTGTAACATATTGGATATCTTCTAAATTTTTTAAGTATGTAGGTAAAATGTAGGTAATGAAATTCAGTTTTTAGTGTGTGTGATTGTTTTTATTATGTAAATTTGCTTGTCTCTATTTTTGTACCTATTGTAAATTTCAGACACAATGTAAATTGTTAATGAAATGACAGGTAAAATGTCGCGATTCACATTTTTACCAGCTAAGAGATTGGACGGACTATGAGAGACAGCTTGAAGTTTTCTGCTAAACTTCAAACCATTATGCTACACACCAAGTGCTCATGATATAACTGGTACAAAGCGAGTATTTCACATAGCACCTGCGTATCTGTTTTTTTGGTATAACCTAAAAGTCATCCAAGTGTACGCCCCTACCTCGACATATACGGACGAAGAAGTAGAGGAAATGTACGAGGACATTTCTAGGGCCTTGCATACCACCCAAAAGGCCCACTTCAACGTTGTCATGGGGGACTTTAACGCAAAAGTGGGAGTACATATTAGCGGCGAATCGGGAATATGACCACACGGGTTTAGTAGCAGGAACCATAGGGGGCAAATGCTCGTCAACTTCCTGGAGAAGGAGGGGCTATTCTTGATGAACTCCTTCTTTAAGAAGCAGCCTCAACGGAAGTGGACGTGGCGGAGCCCCGACACTATGACTAAAAATGAGATAGACTTCATTATGACGGACAAAAAGCGAATATTTAGAGATGTCTCTGTGATCAATAGGTTCAACACAGGAAGTGATCACCGACTGGTACGAGGCACTCTAAACATCGAACACAAATTCGAGCGTGCCCGTCTTATGAAGTCTACGCTCCGACCTAATTTGCTCCAAACTGTTGTCGGGTCCGAAAGCTTCCAGCTCAAACTGGAAAATCGATTCGCTGTCTTGGAAACCACAATAGACGCTGATATTGACCAAAAACTCGACCAAATGGTCGGGATACTCCGAGATGAGGGGACGAAAATGTGGCGGGCGCAAAATACCGGCAGGAGGGCGGGGCTTTCGGGTGAGTCTCTGCAGCTGATGAAGAGGCGCCGTGAAAACCCAGCAGTCGCTTCGTCGGATCTTAATAGAAAGATCTCGAAGCAGGTAAGACGTGACCTTCGGTGCTCCAACACACGCGCTATAAAAGAAGCGATCGAGCGAAATCGGGGGTCAAAAGTTTTCATCCAGCAACTAGGTCGAAGCCATCTGACGAAGCTGACTACATCTGAGGGAAAAGTTGTCGCTTCTGGGCCGGAGATTCTTGCGGAGGTTCAGCGCTTTTACGGTGATCTATATGCGTCACAAGCACCCCAACCTCAATCATACTCGGGGTATCCCAGGGCCACACTTGTCCGCCACTTCACTGAAGAGCTGCCAGAGGTCAGCCAAGACGATATCGTGGTGGCTTTGGGGCAGCTTAAAAATGGAAAAGCCCCCGGTGAGGACGGAATTACGACGGAGCTCCTTAAGGCAGGGGGAAAACCGATTCTCGAGCGGCTCCAAAGTATATTTAATTCCGTCCTCTTCACGGGGAGAACTCCTAGGGTGTGGAGCAGAAGCATTGTCGTTATGTTCTTCAAAAAAGGAGATAAAACCCTTTTGAAGAACTATCGTCCTATTTCTCTTTTGAGCCACATCTATAAGCTGTTTTCCAGGGTCATCACGAATCGTCTCGCACGAAGGCTTGATGAGTTTCAGCCCCCCGAGCAGGCCGGGTTCAGAGGAGGATATGGCACCATGGACCACATTTACACGATGAGGCAGATTATACAGAAGACCGAGGAGTATAATCGGCCTCTATGCTTGGCGTTCGTGGACTATGAGAAGGCCTTTGACTCTATCGAGATCTGGTCTGTTCTGGAGTCCTTACAAAGGTGCCAAGTCGACTGGCGATACAAGTGCTGAGAGAACTATACGAAGCTGCGACTATGGCCGTCCAAGTACAAAATCAGCAGTCTGAACCTATTCACCTGCATTGAGGAGTGAGATAAGGGGATGTTATATCCCCCAAATTGTTCACAAATGCTATGGAGGATATGTTCAAGACACTGCATTGGAAAGGACGGGGCATAAACATAAACGGCAAGTATCTCTCACACTTGAGATTTGCAGATGATATCGTCATCGTGGCTGAAACCGTTCAGGACTTGCAATATATGCTGTGCAGCCTGGCTGATACTTCCACGCGCATTGGGCTCCGGATGAATTTGGACAAAACAAAAATAATGTTCAATGAACATGTCATTCCAGAGCCAATTGTTCTCAACGGGTCGCCTCTCGAAGTCGTTCAGGAATACATCTACCTAGGACAAACCCTGCAGTTTGGTAGGAACAGCTTCGAAAAGGAGGCCCGTAGAAGGATACAGCTTGGCTGGGCAGCATATAGAAAACTTAATCAAGTCTTCTCGTCTCAGATACCGCAAAGCCTGAAGACAAAAGTCTGACAGTGCGACTGGTCCACCAATTTAAGGTCGCGCAGCGAGCTATGGAGAGGGCTATGCTCGGAGTCTCTTTGAAGGATCGAATCCGAAACGAAGTGATCCGACAGAGAACCAAAGTTATCGACATAGCCCAAAGGATCAGTAAGCTGAAGTGGCAGTGGGCCGGTCACATTTGTCGAAGAACCGATAACCGTTGGGGTAAACGTGTTCTAGAGTGGAGACCGCGTCTGGGCAAACGTAGTGTAGGGCGCCCTCCAGCTAGGTGGAGTGACGACATCTGCAAGGTGGCTGGCAGTGGTTGGATGAGAAGAGCTGAAGACGGAGCTCAGTGGCGTGCCATAGGAGAGGTCTATGTCCAGCAGTGGACGAATACAGGCTGATGATGATGATCTGTTTTAAGAATTAAGAAGCATAATGATGATATTTCATCAATATGTTATTTTGTGTATGCTTTATTCAATTTTCATTTTTTATATATCATGCTCACTTTTTATAACCAGTTTGAGCTATTGCGGACCATGATGGTAGTTAAATTTTAAAAGAGCTAGGTCACCACTTATATTTTAAGATCTCAAACAACACTGGCGCTCTTGGGTACGCAATAATTCGGGGCCCTTTTGGATTATCTCTTTTTTTAACGATCTCCAAGCTAGGACCTTTTCCTGTATCGTGGGTGCGTTCAGAAGTTGACATACACTTGCCACCCAGACACGGAACACCAATATGTCGATCACACATAGATTTACTCCCACGTTACGCGGCAGTCAGTTGCCGCACATGAGTAGCGAGTGTTTGCCCGATCTTTCGGGGCCCCTTGATGATATTGGGCCCCCTGGGCACGGGCCTCATGTATCAATATGTATATGATAAATACGGTACTGATCATGCGTTGTTTTACTTTTTAAAAGTTATTATATAATAGTACATACCTGACAAATAGTGCCGTATAAGTCAACAGCCGGGTATACCTGGCTGAACCTGCGCGGAATGGTAGCTATGCAGCCAATCAGTTTCCCATTGACCTGCAGTACTAACTCACTGGTGAAGCGGAAGTGTAGAGTGAGGACCGACTGCTCCGTCAAATCTTCCAACACCATCCCGATCAACGAGTGGTACTGTAACATTATAATAAAGATCAACATTCACAACCTATAAGATTGTACTACTGTACCAAGGGCCTTCTCTGCATTAGATAAAGAAGAAATTTGTTCCGCATGGCATACAGGAGCACGATTGCAGTTTAAAAGAATCAAGTTTATCGGAGAGCGCTACTGTCTGGTTTTTTGTTACACAGGGTGGAATTTTGTAATGACACCTGAACGGGAAGTAGGTACTCTTAATAGGTACTTAAGATAGAAAATTGTACTCAAAGAAAACATTCCTTTATTTCTGAAAAGAAACAAAACTGCATTCATAGATTTTAAAAAATTCGAACCGACTAAAATCTGTAAAAATTGCATCCTCTACTTTTATTGCTTCGATCGTTAGGGTCAATAAGGATGAAATTTCTTTAACAAATTTTAAATTGAATGAATAAAAACAATAAAATCTTAAATTAATAATACAATGGTTGACCCAATGGTTAAAGCACTTAAAGTATTAAGATTTCCCCTTCAGGTGGCATTACAAAATTCCACCCTGTATATGTAGCTCTTATAACACCCGCTGGAAGAGAAGGATAACATAACATCAACACCACGCCTTTTATCCCCGAAGGGGTAGGCAGAGGTGCACACAGAAGTAACACCCACTTTTTACTATTTATGTTATGTATGAGTCCCACGTAATAGAGGGTGAGCCTATTGCCATATGCCGGGCACATTTCCAGACTCTGTGGTAATACTGAGATTTTTTTTTAAAAACCCAGTAATACTCTGCCCGACCCGGGAATCGAACCCGAGACCCCTTGCCGGAAGAGAAGGAGTAATGACAAATGTATTCTATGGCATCACCACTTAGCGATATAATAAACAAAGTTACATTTACAGTCTTAACTAGTCTGTGTAGTGGACACAGCAGTTATTGTAAATGTACTTGTATATTTGCAAAGACAGATACACTAGGTCAGTCTTAATCATTCGATGGGATGGCGACCCGACACCACCGAACAGAAAGTGATGGTCGAACGGCTTTATATGCCTTCCGAATATAGGTACATATATTTCAGGCTACTTGCAGCCAATTCAGTTAGATACAACCATTCATATTTTGTCTAACGATGAGGGCATCGAACCCGCCATCTCCAGCCCTTTTTGACTGCTGTTAGACGTTCGATATCCAACGGTACACCATTAACCTTGATTATAGATCACCATACTAGTCGTAACACTCTGCTAGAGTGGCAACTTTTTGTGAATTGTTGAAGCGGACCATTGAATGTAATATTGATCTAATCGGTTCATCACATCGGTGACTTCCCACGCGCTTTTGGGCCCTTCCCTTGCGCAACAAGTTGCTCCACAGAAGCGTGTCCATGACGGGTGATAGCAAAACAGGAATATAAAATACTTACGAATGTCCCGTTGTCATTGATCATATCGCTGGAAAGCATCCAGCAGGGTGTCTCCATGGGGATGCCGTTCCTGATAGGCTCGGCTGGGAGCGTGCCCACTGCCCCAATGGATATGGTGCCCACCCAATCATCACACATCTTGTCCACACGGAACTGAAACAACATAAACACCGTATACAGATTTGTGCCAATATAGTGAACATTATATAACTTATCACACAAACAAGAGAGTACAAATGTGAATTTCCAATTGAAACATTTCGCCATTAATGTTATTAGTTTTTTGTTATGATTGTTTGCTATTGCAAACAATTTTCTGTATATTATTATATACAGAAAAACTTTGTTATATGTATTTTGCACGAGCCAGGAAATGAGTCTAGGTATTCGTATATAGAGAACAATTGCAATCATAAAACCAAAGTGAGGGGTTGGTTTCAGGGTTCGAAAATATGCAGCATTTGTAATAAATATAAAAATATCGGATATTTAGGATAAAGATCCGAAATATATCAAGTTTGATATAAATCCATTTTGTATGAACATCGTGGATTATTTTTAAAGTAGTAGATTATATTAAGTCGAGCAGCGGGAGTAGCTAGTTTTTTATAAGTACAAAGGTTTATTTATGTTGCATAACTGGATGCCAAGCAATAATTTTTATTTTAGTGTTAGTCTAGTAGGTTGTATTAAAACATCTAAATATTTCGTCAGGTTTTACAAGGCGCAAGTGCAGATTTCACTATGTCCAATTACTAAATGCCACTAAATTTTAAGTTGCGCTGAATTATAGCTCTATTTATCACTACAAGTTCTTTGTATAATGACAGAGATGGCACGACATTTAAGTACTATTAGAAAATTAAGTGACTTTAGTACATATGTTTCACGAAAATAACTTCGTCTATGTAATGCAAAGCAATGCTAAATAAATGCTTTAGATCTGTCGCATTGGCAGAAAATAATACATTTCGCTTTTTAACCGCAATTGCACATACATTTCCTTACTGTATTTGTGATTAATTACATCGTCACATCGCAAAATTTTTAAAATACTAGTTCGCAATATTAGTGGCGCCTAGCAATTACATGAAAAAAAAAACATCGCTTTATTTACGACGCAACTTACCCTAAAATTATGTCCGCGGCGCAATGGCTGGCCAACGACTGCCAGGCCTTCTTTGTATCCTTGGAAACGCATCGCCACAGTGTCTGGGGAGAAACGAAATGCATTTTGTAATAAATTACGTGTTCTTCTAAAACAAATAAAGTAACATCTGCACTTTATTATTATTACTATTAAACACATTTCATCCGAAATGATGAAATGAAAAAGTAAAAAATACGCGAATCATTAATTATATTCCACAAAAAAGGAGCCGAGCAGCGGGTGATCCGCGCGGAAGTAACCGCTAAGGTTAAATTTTATATGACGAAATAGTAAATAGTATATAATTATGTACCTGAGCTGCACAGTTTGATGTTGACGCCATGTATATTGAAGAACGTGTAAGGCAGGTTGTTGCGGCTTGGACTCGGCTCGGGCTCGGGCTCGGACTCAGCGTTTGGCTCGGCGGGTGGATCGCCCAGTGGTTCCGAGAGATCGAACGGTGGTTCAGTGGACGGACCGGCGGGAGGCTCATCATCTTGAGCGCCTGCTTCTTCGGCATCAACACCCGAACCCGACCCGGAGCCAGAGCCGGATGCTGCAGTTACAACAGCAGCTACATCTACCGCCGCACTAGGAGTCGTTGGCTCAGCAGACGTTGATGCAGCTGGTAACTCCTTCGGAGGAGAAGAGGCCTTCCCACGCTTTCCTTTTCCTTTACCTTTGCCTTGAGCCTGGGCGGCAGCTCTAGCCTCAGCCCGAGCAGCAGCTTGCGCTTCAGCGGCAGCTTGAGCAGCCTGTGCGGCAAGCTTGGCGTACTTGCCCTTTAGTATGGGAGCCTTGTTCTTACGACCCATTATGTCGTCTTCAGCGGCAGACGCTTCGTCTTCAGCTAGATCGTCAGCAACGCTATCCTCACTCGTCGTATCTTCACCGGGATCGTCGGCTGAGTCAAATGTACGGTCAGAATTTCGTGGCCGAACACCCGCGAGTGGGCACCCGGCACCCGCTAACGATCCGTGAATATCAAAGACCTCGTCTGTATTGTCACTGCTTAAATGGCCTAAATTCAATGGCGTCGCTATACGCTTCGAGAAGTCCTCGCCGTCGTTAGGAACTAAAAATCAAACACAATTGAGATTAAATTATCGCAGTTATTTACTTCTTACTAAAAAATCATGCATGTATACTTCATATTGACTTAGACGTGACATTCGCAGTTTCGAAACTTATAGTTAGTTAACATTATATTTATGCGGTACCTAATGCGGTTGCATCTTAGATAGTAAAATTATTATCTATACTAAAAAAATCCCCGAAAGATAGATAAATGCAACGGGATGTGCATACGAAGTCGCGGGGAGCAGACAGTTATTTATACTACAAGTTGGTAATTTTGAATAATATCGTAAGAAGACAAAATCAAATAATCACTAGGTAGGTAATATCTTATCGTTCAAGAATATACATGAAAATCGATTGAAGTTAAGGATTTTTTTCCAATTTGTGGTAAGATCTTGCGTGTATCTTTTGAATAGAATAATTAATAGAATTATAACAATACAATATTCGATATTAATGTGTTGCGTATTACGCTGTTACATTTCATGGCGTATTTGGTTAATTTATAAATTGACCAGTAATCATAATCTATTATAACAGATTTATATGACTGTAACACAAACAAAGACTAAAGACCTAAGTTATAATATGAAGATAAATCATCATGACATAGGTAATCGCAGTAGTGTAGTAGGATTAAATCGCTGTGACCTACAAAGCGAACGCGAAGAATTGAAACCTATCGTACGTAACACGACATAAACACAATTTAACATAATGATCCTTCACAAACCCTTGGAAAAGAATGGTTGAAGGCAACTTATGAAGTATGCATGGGGCATTAAGGGCAAAATGCAGTTCAATCGATACAGCATTGATGAAGCTCAGTGAAGGACGGTAATGGTAGGCTAGCCGCTTCACCTTGCGGTATCAATCACTTGTAAAACATTAACGATTAGCCGCAATTGTAGTAAGGGTTCGTGGAAAGGAACATTATTGAGTTTGCTTCAGTACAGTTCTGTATTTACGTTAGGGAAGTCGACACGAAATAAAATGTAATGTTTGTTACTTACTCGTTGTTTGATTCAGTCCAGCCCCGAGAACTCCCTGGGAGACTGCTTGTATCTTGGTGACGTGACCGTACAATTCAATGACCACGTACACTTTCTGTATCGACAAAGAAAAATAACGTTTAATTATGTTTGTCTAAAGATAAAAATGTGTGAACTAACGGGAAATACACCTTTGAAGGATTCGAGTGAATAGATTATAAAACCTACTTTTGTACTGCATGTTTTCTCTAATAGGAAACTTTTTAAAGCCAAAACCAAATTGTTTTAATCGATAAACGGTACTTTATATTTTTTACAATTTCAAAAATTTAAAATTTATCATTATCATTCATACACAAAAATCAAACATGATTGCATAACTAAAGGTACATTCCCATTAATTCTATTGCATTGAACATTGTCATTTTTCATGAATGAGTGTGTTGTTAGTAAGTAGTGTGAAGCTGGAAGCGGTGATGATATGAAGGAGATATGATAATGGTCAGAGAGGGCATTTGGTTCGAGGAATATTAAAGGTAAGAAACCATGCACTGCTACAATTCCATCATACAAAATATAAAAAAGTTACATTTACTGACCCATCTTTATAAGCGTACACTTCAGTGAAATAACATCACACAATGCGCATGGAAATGTATATTTCACCAAAAATACACTGCTATACAATATGTACATAGTAAATATACTTCTTTATATTGTGTATATTATGTAATTTACTTTTGAATGGAGTATGGTCATATTAATGTGAAACTTGAAGACCATCTCCACTCAATGAGACAGGATTTCCATAATCATTGCAAGCTTGGTACGAAATTATCTGATTGAAGTAACTTGACAATGGCTTGTTTTAGAAATACTTAATATTTTTAGTTGTTAGAACCTAAATGATAGATAAATGTAATACCGGTTCGTCAAAAGTAAATATTATTTACTACTGACACGAACCAGCTAATTCAGTAGTAAATGATTTCTGGATACAGTTATACCCCGACTTACATGGTATGAATAGAGACCGCCAAAGACGTCGTAGTCGTGTACATATTCTTCAAATCTTCTACCTAACCTCTCTAACATATACATACCGAAACTATTACATAAGTAGGTATTTCAGGGCATGACTGTACTCATAACCTTGATGAATTTCATTCTGTTATATCTATCAAGGCAATCATGATCCAAAAAACCCATAACAATATTTTGTAACAAAACAATTGTTTGTAGTATAGAGTTGGTACTAAGTGGAATTCCACATAAGCCACCATGACATAATTCTCTCTCTTGACTCTTTCTTGTAAAATTTATTGCATAGACCTCTGTCTGTGACCTGGTTAACCAACGAAACAGGCTAAGCCGGAGTGACCTCAAAAACAAATTTCCATCATCCAATATATAAATCAACCTTCAAAGTAAATAAATATCTGAAGAATTTGTCAAATCTATTTCATAATTTCATAAAAGTACTTTTCACAGCGCTTAAATCTAGTACATAACTTTCAAGGTTTTGAGATGCAGTCGGCTAATTAACGTTTATCACATCATAACAAATTACTATCAAACTATGCAACAGAAAGGGCCCTAATGCATGAAGGCCGCGCTCCACCTAACTTGATTCCAGTTTTCCCTGTCAGATTCAGCCACCAAATACAATCTACGCTCATCCAAAGCGATAATGAGTTCACAATTAAATTAATTTCAACTGCGAACTACTACGAAGGTCGGTTTACAATCCAAATTAGTCAGATTATACTACATTCATCACAATAAAAGTTAGACCTGAAAGGTTCTAATATAACGGTGGTAATTGATTGATGCCATACCAGCACGCTAATCATATTATGTAAGGAGTACCAGTAATAAAATCGTACATGATATTATACTCTTGCAAATTATGACAATTAACCTGCCTTAGATTCAGCTACAAAATTTATTTTAGGCAAAATTAATACATGATTTTACTATATCAGACAAATAACAGCAACTTCATATAAACGCTATTGAAATATTTTACTCAAAAATGTAAAGGACGTTGTATTTTCGCACAAGCGTAACTGATATTATAAATGTTCTAGTATTCAAATTGAAATAAAATAATAAGTCGTCGATAAAATTTGAATCAAAGCAAGCAATGAATGAGAATAAATCTTAATGTCCTGCATGTCCCGCTACAGAGCGGTTGTAATTTTGCTATACTATAAGCTTGAATATTAATGACACTACTGTTAATTATATAGTTGAAAATTGATTCCAACGATTTCGCAAAAAATATAAAAATAGCGATTTTATTATATTTGTATATAATCGCACGGGTCGATTTCCAATTAGTAAGTGTTTATTAGCTTTTTCGGAAGTTCAGCAGAGGAATGCAAAGGGTTACCATGAAATTTTGTTAGTTTATCATCGTTCTATTCATCGTTATTAAAAAAATTGTGATATATTAATTTCATGGTATAGCCCCATTGCGGTAGCGTTTGAAGCATTATTCAGCGCCAAAGCATTGGGAGTCAAGCGAACAAGTCAATTACAAACCACCGAAAAAACCCAGTCGACCAATTTGTGTAGAATAAAAAACATGAATATTTAATAATTATTTACCATTGACTTCAAGCTATCGTATTTTTAATTTGCCATGACCGAATTGGTTGCAGGACAATTTGTCTTTGCTTACTTCAATTCTCACAATGGTAATTATTCGTTCCCTAGTTAAATTAACACACAAAGTAATCTCATCTTATAAATATGAGCAACCTACATTGTTACAATTTAAAAGTTAATATTTCATTATATTATACATTGAAAGCTATTGCCTGATACAGTTCGGCCTATCCAACGCTATTTAATTATTGTTAGACCACTCCGCTAGGTAACCGTGTATTAATGGTTAGTAAAAAATAGAAAAAGCAAAAGCCGTCGGTAAAGCTGAATATAAGTGAAATTGAAACCATGAGTATTTAACTATTATGGCCAGTAAATCATATGATTTAATTTGAAACGACTATAAAGTAAACTCAAGCTATACAAAAAAGAAGAAAACTTATTATTTCCATGATGTTTCGTACTAGTCAACATGTTCCATTTTTGCCGTGTCTAAAGTAACTCTAATTAGTATTAAGTATTGCAGGTCTAACTTGAAACAAAAAATCCTTACATAAAATAACCATGAAAATTATAACTCGGAACATTTAATATTTCAACTAAAACATGCATTTATGATAAAATTTAAAGTACCTTCGCATGTATATCTTCGTTCTTGGCTTGTTTTAAAAATGTCTCTATCAAACAAATATGGCGACCATTTTCCTTCCGAAATTTGTTTATGAGGCTGGTATCTTCCATGGGGAAAGCCCTCGGATATTTGCACATTATCGGAACTTGCAGGCACGGCAAAAAGAAAACAAGTGCCTAGTGCAGCGAGTAGGTTAGTATCACAGGCCAGGTTGAATGTCAGTAATCGCATATGGTTTGCAAACGTTGCACTGCTAGACTCCGGATCCTGCCGCAGAATGGTGCGGCATCGTCCGGGGGCTAGGTGCGCGGGCTGGGTATACCGCCACCCTCGGTCGCCAGCGGCCTCGTTGGTATTTGCAGGGTGTACCGCGTGCAGGTGAGGTTGGCATTCGGACAAACGTTCCTTTACACCCCTCTATTGTTTTACTTGACTTCTAACATTTAATAGTAGTAAACATTTGAATACACGATACAAGTGATTAAATTGATTGAATGAGTACACAATTTCAAAACAGCAACTACGTTGTTCTAAAAATCAATTACAATGTCAAGTATTATATAATTTCTAAAGCTCAAACTGTCACTCAACCCTCGGCCTCCTGAGTTATGACAAAACGGATGAAAGTTTTAATAACTCCTGCCTCACGAATACTAACGTCGGGAACTCTCTCGAAGCAAGTGTCGAGCGGTTCAGAATTGTAGAAGACGATAACGCGGTTGTCGTTGATTTTCTTCAGACCGATTCTATCTCCGGGGCGCAGCCACTCGAACGACGGGACAAACGAGTATATTTCTTGTTTTCGGGTACCCGGGTGAGAGTACTTCATGAAGCGCCCTGTAATTATAATGTCACACTATAATATCATTAAGGTGGTAACTTGCATTATTCACATAACTTCATTTTACTTCAAAAAATATAGTTTTTTGAACCAAATTTGAAAGAAGTAATTGTAATATTAAAACCACTGTATGTTACCATCAATGTACGCGGTGAAGTGAGGCAGGCAAGCGACGCTAGGAGGCAAGCTGCGGTTCACATGCGCATTCAAGATGTTGATATCTGTGATCCCGATACGGAAGCTACCAGCGTATGAGTGTTTACACTCCAATATCTTCACCTGAAAATGATAAGATAATAATTAGAGCTCCGTTACTGAAAATAAAAACTTTGCTAATATAATATTCAGATTGGTTCACTATATTACCTCGAATAATTCTCCCAAAGCAAGATGAGCGGAACTGAACACGAGCGCCGACATCGGATCAGACGTCAGTCGTCGAGCGACTGTATACTCGTGCAATAAACATACATTATCACCAGCGTACTCGGAAAAGCTCCTGCAAATAATGAGAATTAACAATAAATAAATGGCTAATTAGTAAGTTTGCTTCAAATACCCAAAATAAGTGAAAATATTCGCTTACCAATACGGTGGTGGTGGCGACGACATAGCTCTGGAGTTGCTTAGCATGGAATTATCTGAATTCGTGCACCCATTGTAATTAAACACCCGCTCTTCATTTTGCAATATTGTCACCTATGGAAACAATATAAAGTTTAAATTAGTTTGCTTATAAATTAGAGAAATGTATACATGAAAGTTTTTTCCTACATACCTGAGTGCACTGGCCATACAAGTCGACGACAGCGTAAATGTTAAGATGGGGCACATACCAAGCCTTGCCCATATCCATACCATCCAAATAGTAATGCAGACTGCGGTCAGCATGCCACATCATACCTGTGCAATTACATTAACATTGTACATTCCATTTTTAACCTTGTGGCTAACTCACCAAATGATATTGAAAAAATATTTCTGGTTGGCTTCGAAAAAGAGCTTTATTCCATTGTGATTAAGTTCACTCACCAACACGACTGCCAACAGTGAGAGTATCCAAGTCTAGGGGGTATCCACTTCGCACGCACTCCCCATCCTTCATCATAGCTGCTCCACTGAGGATATAAGTGTCCCAGTTGAGGTCGGTAGCTGTTCCCGCAATCGCACCGACACCACCGCTAGCTTCCAAATCATCAGGACGTATTGCCGTCACACCTGTACAAAGTATAGGATTTGAGGACGCCCAGTAACATTAAAAAACATTAAAGTTTTTGGGGCTAGAGATGCACCACTTTGTATGTCGCTCACCAATTTCAAGGCTCCCAATCCAGCAGTCAACCATTTTATCAATACGAAGTTCAAACATGTCGCATTCACGGAGAGGTCGTGAGCTAAACAACACGGCGTCATTGAACTCGGAATAGACGGTGGCGCGCCAGGCCGTCAGACGGTTGCGACTCAGACGCGCGTTGCGACCGTGCACGCGATGGAAGCACATCTCACTGCGGAAATAAGCAATTTTGGAGGCGGTTGAATACATTTTTCTCCACAATACTTTCCCAGGCTGGGAAATTGTTCGTGCGCAGGATATTAGGTGGAATTCTAATATCTTTATGAACTCAAAGAGTGCAAAAGTAGATCCCAATCAAGTTACACTGATGGTGGTTAGAAGCAGACTAATGAAATAATCCGAGATTTCTAACATAACTAGCGAAAGGTGGGCGTAATACACCTCTGCCTACATTCTCAGAATCATGGCGATAAGTTATTTTTGTATTGAGCCAAAGGTAAAAGGTTAACCAGAGCAGACATAGCCCCGAGACAAAAGCGTATTTAATATCGCTAATGTCCTTAAATACACCACACCCACACATTCTTATTTATACTTACTAATGACTTTGTTCATCTAATATCCCCATATAGGTTTACAAAACAAAGCGAACCTTTCCAGACGTAATCACATATCATGTTTAATAAATCAATTACTACCACACAGTAGTTGCTATTAATAATCGAATAAAAAAAGAAACACTCACGGAAATATTGTAGCATTAGACTCGGAAGACAGTGGTGATTCGGGGGAATATATTGGCGGTGGCGTGTATTCGTCCACTATTGTCGCTTGTGCTGCGCGACCGTACAAATCTAAGACAAGGAAACATTATTCTTATAAAGTTTGTAACTATAGGACATTGAAGCAAATCACGGTTAGTTTTCAACTTGCCTACTATGCCAAACACGTGTTCAGGAACATTGAACGCAGCCGGTCCCTGATCCACACCATTGACAAAAAAATGCAGGATGCCCAACTCCTTACGCATGACTCCTACAGTGTCTCCTTCCTAACATGTGAAAAAGATAAGTAAAAAGTAAATACTTTGTCTTAGATTATTTGTATGTCAGTACTTTGCATACCCAGTAATAAAACAAAGCTCACCACAAGTTTGTTGAGGTTTCGTACGTACTGTGGAATTATAATAGTACCGTCTCGAATTACGTCTTCTCCGGTCACAGCCCACGTGCCGGATCTAGTTAAACAATTTCATATGAGTTTTCAAAATCAAATTAATACAAAATACTAACTCAACCATAAAATCATAACTTGCTCATCTGTAAACTTACTTGGCATTGCTCATTTTAAAAGGGAATTTAATATCATTTGAAGAATGCTGCGTGACTCCAATTTCAATGCTTCCAGCCCACTTCGGGATGACAAGGTCGAGACGTACTTGGAAAAGTTCGTTAGTTTTTAAGGTACGGTTCGTCATTACGATTCCGTTGTTGAAGTACTTGAAAGCACTAAAAAATAAAAAGCCAACAATAAGACCCCATTACATTTACGCTACAAAACTCACGTAACAAAATAATAAAAAAATTGTGAATACTCACTTAGGCCTATGAGCAGTCTTACCATCGTTAATAATAATAACATTCGAATCACGCAGCGTATGAAATAAAAGGCTCTCTTCGTCTATTGTTGGTCTAAAATTGCCTGTAATACCGTAACACATTGACTAACATAAATCCAAACCATCACGTATGAGTTCATTTTCTAAATAACCAATAAGTAAATGTACTTACTGGGAGCAGGAATTTCAGGCGAAGCGAGCATGAGAGGTGGATTATTGATGTTACTATCCAAATCTTCGCAAGGATCCACAATGGATACCTGAAAAAAAAAAAACAATTCAATGTTACTATAGTCGACGATTAATAGAAAATATTGGTAAATGAAAGGAACAGAAGCTTCTTAACTTACTTTGACAGTCATTCCATATAGATCCACCACCCCCCAAACTTGTTGGTCTACCTTATCAGTAGCAACACCTTGGTCGATACCATTGATAAAATAGTGCAATTTACCATTGCTCTTCCTCATCATACCAACGGTGTCACCTTCCTACAAAGAAAATCATGTTCACAATTCTGAGTATTACATTCATTTCATATCTTACATGATAGATTAAAAGTGTCATCATGTAACTTCGGAAATACGTCGCAATGTTGCTTACTCTTAGTTCATCAAGATTAAAGTTGCCATACTCCATGCAAGTGCCGTGACCGTTGAGAAGCACCTTGCATCCTGACATCATTATAGTTCCAGTGTCCATGTTGGTCATAGTGGACGGGAATCGTATCGTAGCAGGGTTGTGTGTAGTAACACCAACCTAAAGAACACATTTTTGTTCATTAAAAATGCCCTAATAAGAAAACAAAACAAATTGGCCACTGGATGGTTAGCACCTCACCTCAATACTTCCACTCCATTTGTCAACGAGCCTATCTATTCGTATCTCAAACAGTTCGTTGTCATAGAGTGGACGGTGTGTCATCACCACACCATTATTGTAGTCATCAAGTGGACGAGCTCGTTCCGCAGTCCTATTGTGAAAGATATATTAGAATTTCTTTAAAATTTCCTGGCAACATCTAAACAAAGTATAAATGAACTTCATTCCTTCTTTATTCATATAAAAACAAGAACTTACTTGTTATTACTTGACAGTTTCACTAAGATTCCACATCTTGGATGAAACCGCAGTCGGTCATGTGGCACTGTTGAAGAAGAATACAATAAGAATTTAACTTTCCCACATCAGTATACTAGATACAAATAAATGTTTGTAATCATTACTCACCAAGGGCACATGCACCTTCGGAAGGCATTGGAATGTAAACATGAGGTTCTTTTGGGCATTGGCTGGACTCGGGTGGAAGACCGGCAACATCCATTTCACTAGATGTAAGAGTATCATCGTTGTTTGGATCCTCTTCAATCTAAAATATTCATATTCTTGTAAGAATGATCATTTTTCAGTTACACAGACAAATAATATCTTATTGTTATCTAACCTGTTCAATACTACTGTCCATGATTGGTCTTATCTCATTTGAACGCAATATAGACACTTGGACGCACTGTCCGTACAAATCAATCACTGCAAATAATCTTGAAGGAAGATCTCTTGCAGCTATTCCCAGGCAACGACCATTGAGATAAAATGTTAATTCTCCCTGGGAAAAAATTTACATACATATTAATACCAACTCACCATACAAATATTCTATATTTGAATTAATTCACACTATAATTTACTATACATAGTACATAATTAATTATTAACACTAGAAAGACCAAGGCAGTCAAATTGACCGCAAGGCAATTTCATTGGTAAATATTTTGCAAACTATGTTTTCGTTCCTTTTAATATTTTATGACTTTTCCTAATTTGCTATTCTAAGGCTTAATCTATATTTATAAAAATATAAGTATATGTTGTATTTGAGTTTCGATTACAAATACCTACTAAGACCGCGCACCGTCAATGTGACGGTATACATATAAAGACAGCGATAAGAATAGTGAACTACGATCTCTTCAAACTGAAGTGGGTACTTTTGTTTTTATTTATGTTGGGTTGAATTCTGACTAATTTTTTAGTACCTAACTTGTTTACATTTTATATTAGGCATTGGTTCCGTTCGCTGAGCAGTCGTGTGGCAAGTGACGGCACAGAAAGGACTTTTGTTTCTTCAAACGCCAGTGAAGAGGGATGTCGTAGCTAGGGCCAAAACGTAACCTCTAACAACTTTTTCACATCACTAATACGGGTAAAACACTATTGGTCGAAGACTAGTATTGTTGGAACAATGCGGTGTGCAAGACGAGAAGTACCACTGATTTGTAGAGGTACTCATACTACAAGATATAAAATCTTCATAATGAAAACCGTTACCGATACAACCCTTACTGTCTATCAAGAAAAACCTGAACATAAATATAGGTACTGACAAAAAAAGTTGCCTGAAACAATTGAATTTTACAATAGGTACAACAAAATTTAGTGTAGACATCAGCGATCAAATGGCACGCAAGTACACCGTAAGAGCTGGAAGTCGGGGTTGGCCTGTCATGTATTTTACAATATACTTGATTTAGTAGCTATAAACTCGTGGATTCTTTATCAAAAAGTTACTAGGAATAAAAAATTCTCGTCATGATTTCATCATTCAACTACTGAGCATACTACGTGAAGAGTATGTGAAAAAAATCCACTTCAACTATGACACAGCATCAAGAAACTAATTCTAAAACAAGTGTACCATCTACTAAAAACAATAAGAGGCGATAATGTCAAATCAACAGTAACTAATTGTAAAAAAAAAATATGTGAAAACTGCATTATCTGTAAAAAACCTGTTTGTGGAAAAAGTAGAAAACAGTTTAAAAATTATTAGATACTTTGCTACAAATGTTACTCAATTTAATGCAAATACATTTATATTATTTTTATTTTATTTTAATGCAAAATATGCAATAATTTCATAAGTATTCTGACTTAATCTCTAGTACCGTCAAATTGACCGCTGCGGTCTTTGAAGGTATAGCATGAAGCCTGGCCCTTCTAGTGTTAAAAATAAGCACTAAGTTTTATAGGTTTATGAATCCACAATTGATAGTTACCTTACTAGTTCTCATAACACCAATACAGTCGCCCTCCCGCAAGGTGTCCAGTTCTGGTCCATATGAATTGACCAAAGTGACACCATCCTTCACAATGGAACTGCCTGACATAATCTAGAAGAGATATATTTCAACTGAGTATGCATGGCACAAACGTAATACGCAATGTAATATAATGGCACAAACATAAAAGGGCATATTATGTCCTTTTGCAACCCTCGATAGCGCTAGCTGAAGATGTAGCTAATCAAGTTGTAGTAAATATATTATCGTATAATCCTTTTTTTGCAATTTATTTAAATTGTCACTAGTTAAACGAGTTACTCGGAAATGAAATTATTTAAAATTGTTAAAACTTAAATAGACATAGCGCAAAAGCCAAAAATTTTGAAGACATTAATAAATATTAAGTGGTTCAGAAGAATGTAATTTATATGTGTAAAATACATGTTTACTTACCCATGCTGTATTCCTGAGTTTTGTTGCCGTAGCAGGTAATTCCATAAACTCAGGGTCCAATGTTGTAACACCTATTTCCAGGCTTCCATTCCAAACATTCACCTAGTATGAAAGAAGAATAGTGTTGAACAGAATTTTTTTATAAACAAAAAACACCAATAAGGAATTGTTGTTTTACAGTTTGTAAGAATCTATTTGAAATGTGTCCATCCCAAATCCCAAATCTTTTAATAAAAGAATATCATGAGAGAAACAAAGGTTAAAACAATCACTGTTGTCATATTACAAGTGAATTATTAAGATTAGGTTCATTTAAAGTGGCCTTTTGTATCCCAAAATGAAATGTAAATTGCTGAATAATTGCATGGAACTCTTTTAAACAAATGAGAATAAAAAGACATTCAAATTCTATGGTTTATCAGAATTGCAATTGCTTATTCGAATAATGGGCATGCACTCATTCAATCGAATGGGAATCTTGTAGTAGAGTCAGAGTAAGTGGATGGATAAAAGCACCTTTCTTTGTTCTTAGTCTTACCTTTCTATCAACAGTAACTTCAAATATAACATCATCCTTCAATGGTTCTGAGCTTAATATCAGGCCATGGTTAAATTCTACAAAATTTCTAACAGCTGTAGAGTTTTCATTCAATAGTGTGACCCGGTCGCCGCACCTTCTATGAAACCTCATCGTTTTCTATATACACTAAACTATGCGCGGCTTATTATGTAATTTAGAATATTTCTGTACATAATTCCAGTTAAAATCTTACTTTGATGTACTTTATTATTCACATTATTTACATGAACATCACGAACAAAAAGTAGCACCCATTATGCGTTAATTATAGTCAGAATTTTAATTAGATTCCAGATTTGACAATAGCTACTGTCATTTTGTGAAATAATGATACCACATATAATAGTGTAGTGATGAACACAAAAATCGAGAAACAATCAGTGTGTGTGTTTTATAATAAATGTTACAGAAAGTGACAGGATAGCGATAGCGATGACGGCGACAATTTATAAAATAACTAATTACCATAATACATCTATCTGTTTTATTTGTCATGTTCCTTCATGATTACATTTTTTATTTATTTCACACACAATTATAAAAGAAAGGTCTTATATCGTTAATTAATCGTCAAAACTTAAATATCGGTTCAGAAATATTTAATTTCCTGATGTACTTAGTTTACGGGAGTAAACTTATAAACGAGAAGAATCGATCCAGAAATAATCCATTTCCATATCGAATAATTTCGCAACGTCACTATTTAGTACTTGTCATAACGTTGCAACACTGAAATTGTCAAATCTGGAATCGAATTAAAATTCCGAGTATAGTTTTACGATGATTCAAGTACGACAATGTCAGATGCATACATACTTTTCAAAATAAATAGCTTACAAAACGAAATATTATTTGCCACATTCATTATTAACATTCTCTTGAAAACAAAATTTTATCACGAATAAGCGCAAAATAACACAAGAATAATATCATATTGATTTTCAGATTCAGACATGACAGAACTAACTTTTTCTAAACCAGACGGCATTGGAGGGCTAGGGAGGGATCGGGATAGCAGGATTTTGAGCAGTGTTACAGCGTTCATAATTTATTTTACTACAGCCAAGGACGGGTACCTACAGCTTGGCAAAAGAGTGTGAAATAAAATGTTATGACGTCGCTAATATCGTAACTGTGGCAACCCTGATATACTATGAGTCAATCGGTTTTGATACTTGTTATTTTCATCGACTATACTATACTCGGAATTTTAATTCGATTCCAGATTTGACAATTTCAGTGTTGCAACGTTATGACAAGTACTAAATAGTGACGTTGCGAAATTATTCGATATGGAAATGCAATATTTCTGGATCGATTCTTCTCATTTATAATTTGACTCTCGTATACTAAGTATTTTTGGAAATTAAATATTTCTGAACGAATAAATTAGTTTTGACGATTAATTAACGATCTAACACTTTTCTTTAATAATTGTGTGTGAAATAACTAAAAAAAATGCAATCATGAAGAAACATGACAAATAAAACAGATAGATGCATTATGGTAATAAATTATTTTGTAAATTGTCGCCGTCATCGCTATCGCTATCCTATCACTTTCTGTAACATTTATTAGGAAACACACACACTGATTATTTATCGATTTTTGTGTTCATCACTACACTATTATATGTGGTATCATTATTTCACAAAATGACAGTAGCTATTGTCAAATCTGGAATCTAATTATAATTCTGACTATAGTGTTAAAATCAGTCACCGCGTCGCGGGTCGCGAGATGCTACTCATGAATATGAGCCTCTAGCATGGCTTGAAATTAGTCGAGTTCCTCGTCATAGGTATAATAACGTGCGTACCTACGCCGAAAACATAATAATTTATTTAGCAAGTCTCACGAAAGTTATAATACAAATATATGAAAGATGGATTGATCGCATGATTGTTTATGCATGGATAAGATCCAAAGTAGATGGTTCAGTCTCAAGTCAATTTCAGAAATCCTAATAAAGGGTGCTGAAGTCTCGCATGCAAGTGGTGTAGCGGGTAGGTATCTAGGTACCTGCTACACCACTATACACTAATAATACTACTACACATAGGTAGATAATTATGTCCTCGAGAGAATATAGGATCTGTAATAAGTACCTACTTATATTATAATTTTATGACAAAATAAAAATCAAGATATTATTTTTAACTCGTGTCTACACTTGAAACATTATGGGAGAAGCATCCTTAGAGTTATACTGGCTGGTCACATTACTCTGTTTCATATCATATCATTACCTATTATTTATTTTCTTATCACATAGGTAAGTACAACCTTAATGTTAACAATTGCTCAACACCCGGTGACAGTCCACTATCTCCAAATAATCTCCAAATCTGCACACTTGACAGGTATTTTGGAGATGATAGCAGTTTCAGAGTTGGTATCTGACAATAGGTTTATCAGAGTGATGGAGGCTCCGGAGCAGGTCTCTTCTAGAGGAGCCGGTGCCCCTTACAGGTGCCAAGGCTGCCCATAGGGGTGGTTCTAGTGAGGTACGAATCGCACACTCCCTAGTCTTTCTCCTCAAAAAGCTAGGCGCATTACGAAGGGTTACGTCATCAAAAAAAACAGGGTTAGGTATCTGAGGGCGCTACTGCCTAGTTTCTGTTATTATAATTATGTAGTTGCCTAGTTGGGTCATACGACAATCGTGGGAAGCTTAGGTGTCACCACCACACGGCACACGACAGTCTATAAGTACCTAGGGTATAACGTATAATTAGGTAATTTTACAGGCTAGGCACTGCAAGGCCCTGTGTTACAGGACACCTGGTCCGCTCCCACAACTGCCACTTAATTAGCCTACAATTTCTGCACTGGATACCTATCCTATGTCACCTATGTGTACTATCGTATGGTCGAGTAGGTATCTTGCTTTTTACTAGTATAATTCTATAATGCGCAAGTTTGTGAGTTTGTATGTTTTTGTACCTACTTATATATGAAACTCAATCACGTCAAAACGGCTGAAGGCTCTAGGTATACGCAATTATTAATTAAGATTCATAGATTTTGTTACAAGTTTATTTAATAGTTAACCTTCAAGCGGGCGCGCGTAGTCGAATCGACCGCGGTTAATACATTTTCGTTCGTATTTTTATTTTTAGTTGCCACATGCATTTCTAATTTCTAGTAGCCTGTCACTATCTTTTTAGGAGTAAAATAAAAACTATTTCGTTGCTTGAAGCGCTCTCTACACTCCACAAATTACA